CACTAAACCAGTGAAAATCTGTGGCAGAATTATTCCCTGGAAAGAAAGAATACAAGTCAGCCCTTGATATTTCTCTCCAGCTTACCAAATGAATAGTGAAATGGGAAAATAAAGGAAGAATAGGCCTTTCAGCCCATCGAGTCTGCTCCACCATTTTATACTATCAAGGCTGATTGAACACTTCAAATGTCTTTTAGCCACATTATCCCCATACCCCCTTACACCACTGGTAATCGGAAATCTATCAACCTCTACTTCAAATATATTCAAAAGAATGAGTTTCCGCAGCTGTATTAGGTACAGCATTTCAAAGATTCACATCCCGAGTAAAAAGACTTTTCCTCTTCTCAGACCTCAGTAGCATTCCCCCCACTTTGAAACCTCAAGATCTCCTCTCATTCTTTGAAACTTTACAGAATACCCAGTTTATCCAGCTGCTCTTCATACAACAGTCTTGCCATCCCAGGAACAAGTTTGCTGAACCTTGGTTGCACTCTCTCAACGGCAATATCATTCTCTCAGGTAAGGAGACCAAACCTGCACACACTGTTTCAGGTGCAGTCTAACCAAGTTCCTCTACAATTGAAGCAAGACTTTACCAACCTTGCAATAAAGCCTAACATTTGACTAGTCTTCCGAATAGACTAACCGCTGCACCTGCATGTTTAGCTTAGTGACTTAGCCACAAGGAACCCATGTCTCTTTGGACAAAGTCCAACCTCTTACCATTTGAGAAATGCTCAGCACTCTGTTCTTCTTACAAAAAGCAAAAACAAAAACAAAAATCAATCGCTCAGGTGTTGTGGCTATTGATGGCTGGGCCAGTATTAATGGTCCATCTGTAGTTGCCCTTAAAAAGATGGTAGCGAGCTGCCTTCTTGAACTACAGCAGTCCGTCTGGTGTAGATAGCACCACAGTACTGTGAAGGAGGGAGTTCCAGGATTGTGACCCAATAATAGTGAAGATACAGCACTACATTTTCATGCCAGGATGGTCAAGGGGCTTTAAGAACTTGAAGGTGGTGGTGTTCCCATGTATCTGCTGCCCTTGTTTGTCCGAGTGGTAGTGGGTCATGAGTTTAGAAGGTGCTGCATAAGGAAGCTTGGTGAATTTCTGCAGGGCACCTTGCAGATAATATTCACTGCTACTACTGTGCAATGATAAAAGGGCTCAACATTTTTGGAGGGAGTGCCAATCAAAGCAGTCAGCTTTGACCTGGATGGTGTCAAACTTCTAGAGTGTCACTGAAATTGC